TGAGATCAGGCTAGCCATACCATAAGCGCGTGTTGGTCACGTTTACAAGAATGAGAACTTCTCCAGAGGACCAACAGACCATCCTAGACAAGCTTTTGAAGATTATTTTTATACAGATCCTTTTCCCTGGGAAACTGACAGTGGATCCTATCAAGATGGGAAAAGTCCTTGTCAATGGAAATTTCAGAGGAGAAGCAAAGTCTTTTGGGATAGCATCAGATGTGCTGCTATTATGTCAATACAAAAGATACAATGTTGGGACATGTCTCTCACAAAGCTAGAACTCTTCTCATCTAAATTCCATGTTAAAATTTTACATATTCTCTGGTGTCTTCATGACAATTAAAACCAAAAAGCTTACTCTGCAAAAGACTCAGACCTGTCAGTCTGATCTTATCTGTGTTTAAACTACTTAGACTATAGGGGTATTTTTAAGGTATATTGACTAGAGGTTACAGTAAATGTATATGCTATTTGGGCTGATGTTAACTGCCAGGGCTGAAGTCTGGAAAACTGTCAGACTCAGAGATACAGTGGGAGAAATAATCAAAGCTCTGAATTCGCTGTGACTAGACATGGGGACATGGTTTAGTGGTGGGATGGCAGGGTTAGGTTAAAGGTTGGACTCGATGATCTTAAAGGTCTTTTCCAACCAAAGCGATTCTATGATTCTATGATTCTAGACTTTCTGAGAGGTAAGGAAACTCACTCAAAACTATCTTGGCTATCTTCATCTTCTATTGCAACATGAGCCTACCCTGAATCTCTTTGTACCATGTCAAATCCATTGTTAGTGGGATACAAATAGTATTTAATTAATTGTATTGGCAAAATCTGTTAACCAAGTGAATTAAACATGGCAAACTGTTTCCACCTGATTGGACATTAGTTGTAAATGCTGTAGAAAATTAGAGCAAGATGGGAACAATTATTTTGGTGCAAAATGTGGGCTACTAGGAACAGCAATTAATACAAAATAACAAGTAATACTAAGACAGTATGGCTATGACACTGGCATTGTCAAAGCATGACTTACAGGTTTTTTGGACTTGCTCATTCAGCACTTAGCAGGTTTAATACTGCTTTATCCTGCATCACTGTAAAAGTGGAACTCACTGATCCTGGGTTTTTTGAGGTTAATGGAAATCAGCGCTATAGAACAAAGTACCCTGTGGCCTTACTTGCTGCTCTTAAAAGTCGAAATGAGTTTCTAATAGGATTTTAAAAAGGATAAAAAGTTTTAGTTTACTTCAGGTGTACGAATTATTGGAGAAAATATAAGTACATGTGTAGGTGGTAGTCCATTTGTCTTAAATTAACAAAGGCTGCATATTCAGTCTGTTCATTGTTAAAAATCACTTCTCTCTAAGTAATTAATAAAGTGTTTTCTTCATGGACTTCTACCATGCAGACAGTGCAAATTAGCAAGCCAAAAGAGTACTGGTCCTGAATTCTCATGAACATCTGAGATTCATTCAGTTTGAATGAGAATTGCAAGTTGTTGCTTTAATATGGTAGCTCCATGCATGCACATGTGTGAGAGGGTGATCCCGTTTCCACCTGCTCACTGCAGAACATGCTGATATTTTATTGCTGGCAGGGGCTCTTGCTCAATTCAGGTACCAAACCCATCAAGTTCCATGTTGATGGTCGCATTTCTCCTATGACTGATAATGTGTGCCATAGTTTGTTCTAGCTGTACACATTAGACAAACTTATTTAGAGGTTAACAGAGAAATCTTTTTTAAATAATGATTTTGTAAACAGTGAAAATCAATCTAGGGATGCTGGAGGTCTTTAAAATAGTGTGTATATAGTTTTAAGAAGTTTATATGGGAAGAATAATAATTTGGTTATAGAACAATACAAGTTTGGGATTATTCATTATTTCACTTTATTTTGATCTGGAATGTTCTTCAGCAGTTTTTTCTTAATGCAAATGCATATATAACAGATACAGTGACTGCAGTTGAAATAACTAGGATGTTTTCTCCGTAGGGGTTCTTCCTTAGAAGAAACAAAAAAATTAAAACATTCATTTTATGACATCTGTGCATATCTACAGTTAACCATATTTTTGTTGTGGACATATAACTTAATTTCTAGGCTTTGTAGTATATAGATAGGGCTGTAGAAATTTAGCAAATATTTCATAAAGTCATTTGCTACTCCATCATGTGTCACTTACTTATTATTTCCCTTGCTGGCTTTGGCTACTCCTTTCTCATGCCAGCAGGCTGCCTAACTTCCATTAAACACTGTTGTTTTCAGGGTTTTATACAAATACACTTCAGTCATCACACATTGACTTTCAGATAGACTGGGACAGAAAGGCTTAGGGAAAATATGTACAACAGGAAACTATATAAATCTAAAATATGTAAATATCATTTGCCAAAAGATCTGTCCCTTACTTAGACTTCTTGGCCATTTTGCCTGCTTGTAACTCTTGCAAAGTTGCAAATCTTGGCTACTTTGGTGTTTTGTGTAAACGATGTTATATCTGAGAATTCTGTGTGAGTATTCTGCATATCTGTTAAATTCTTTCTGAAGTAATCTGCTTTTTTTGTTTTCTGAGTTATTGGCCGTTATTCTTTGGATATGTTGAGTTTTATATAATCTCAACTTGAGGTATGTATAGTCCTATGTTTCTAAGATCTAGTGGTCACATGAAAATGAGGTTAATTTTAAAATTAAAACTGTAAGTAGTGGTTCTTACATTGCTATTTGTAATTGCTTCAGATGTATACACATACAAGTGAAGTTTCTTGAGTTGCGGTAGCAAAGACCACGGTATTTATTTGAAAATGTGGGAATTAATCAAGATAAAGCAAAACAGTCAATACCTTTAGTATGAAAAAACACTTTGCTATACTGCAAAAGGTTTTAATTACATCTAAAGAGGCCTCAGTGTGATCTTCAATAGAAAAATCTATCTAAATGATTTGTCAGTGGTGGTCTGCCAAAAGAAACCTAGGGGACGAGGCAAATCAGACAGTTGAAGTTAATTAGTGTCGTGTGTGTGTCACAAATGTGAAGAGGCTTAAAAGCCACCAGTGCTACTGTGTAATGATTCTTCAAAATAATGTCTTTGGGAAATAATTTTCTGAGTTTGGCTCTGCAATGCAATTTGACTGTGGGATCTTGAGAATGACTTTTTTACATGTGTCTTATGAAAGCTTGCAGCAGAATAAAAAGTGGTGTATTTTTTTGGAAGTAGATTAGTTAGAAACATTTTATTTGGGAATGCATAAAGATATAACATCAGTAACAAATCATGGTAGCAGGTAGAAAAATACACTACTTTGTTACTTTTGTTTATGTCAGTTTACTCAAGACTGTTCTCCCTGTGTAGGACTCAAATTATGGACAGATTTTTAAAAGGTGCTGTGCTAACAGTAAAATCTCGTGACTTTCCAATAGTGGAGAAGAGTGTTAGTTCTGAGACTTTTATATAGGATCAGACCTAATTAGGTAGGTCTTCAGCTTTTCTGGAAATCTTCTGTATGGGAAGAAAGTAGTTCTGTACTTTTGTTTTGCCTGGTGGATGGGGTTTGAGAAATTGAATTATCCATGGTATTGTTGAAAGGAAATTATTTTAAAGCAAGTCTATGAAATATAATATCCTCAGCATGTAGGGATTGTGGACTTATAAAACAAATCAGTATAAATCGTATGTCTTTCAACACTGAATAAAATACTTAATCTTGGCGATGCAAGTATGCTACACTATTTTCTTTGCCTGATGGCATACCTGAAACAGTAAAAATGTTGTGTTGCTTTAAAATAAAAAGTTATAAAGCTAAAGAAGGTACTTAGAAAAGGACTTGCAGTTTCTATACAAATTCTTATTTTACTGTTTTAAATGCTTAATTATGAACCTAGTATGCAGTTTAGCTATTAACCAGAGATGGATGAATTGTAACTCCTGACTGCTATCAGTTTTAAAATAACTTCATTTGAAATGGGTCCCTTCCAACCCAAAACATTCTATGATTCTATGAAATACTTGTTGAAAGCATACTGGAGGACTGAACTGCAGTAATCCCATCAGTATGAAAGAAAATATTTTATGCAGATATTTCTTTGTGTTTCCTCAAAATATCAAATTTCTCCATATCAGCCTCCCAGGAGGGGAAAAAGCTGGGAGAAAAAGTCTGGGGAATATTAGGGTTTTTTCCCTGTGGGGGACGGGAAAACTTGCACATCTTTCCATTATCTGCTAATCTAAAATGCAAATTAAAATACCCATTCTCTGTGCAGTATCATGATATCTGACAGTCAGTCTGCTGTGTGCTACGTCAGGGGTTGAACCTTAATTCTTTCTCTTTGGCAGTAGTAGAATCTGGGGTACGGTATAAATCCAGATTCTCCACACTGGCTCCCCTTTCAATATACTGAATGTTCCCTATCAGAGAGCTACCTACTGGTTTTTGGTTTTTAGCATAGAGAATCTTTAGTTTGCAAGCATATGTGAAAAGGCTCACATGCACTGAGCAGTTGCCAGTGAGTGAAGATGATGCAGCCTGACCGCTTCGTGCAGGTAAACTAGTGAACTTTCAGTGCTGGTTTTTCAATTGAGAACAGCATCAAGTTTCTGATCCCTCACCAGCAATGGTGTGGAAGATACCCAGATGAAGGAAAAAAGAGTTGATAGAAAACTGATTGAGAGTTCTTCACAGAAGCATTCTCAAAGGGAGGGATATGCTAAGGTGGATAACTTGGTTTGAAATATATTTGTAATTAATAATCCAAGTCAACTGTAGAACATGCAAGCTTTTGTTAAAGTTGCTGAAACACATAGCATTTCAAATTGACATCTAGATGGTAATAATTTTCTCAGCATTTTAACCCTTCGTTTTTATCCTGTAAACATCGTTGCACTTGTGTAAGTATGGTTCTTTCAAAACAATAACATAATCAGCAATTTAAATATTATATAGAAAATCTATTTAACGGCCTTTTTTTTTCTTTTTTTTCCTTTTCTTTTTTTGTTATAGGGCAGATTATACCTGAAAGAAGATTTGTAGAAGCAATAAATCGTCAAGCATATCAGTATGAAATGGGTGACTTTCCAACAGAATGGGAAGGTAAATCCTGAGCATTTTGGGGTTTTTTCAAGATAATTTTGCCATTGAATGTAGAGTCAATATTTTTAACGGAAAGCCTGTCTACGTGAGTAGGTTGTCTGTTATCTTTTGAGTAATGCAGGTTTTTGTTTAACTGCATAGTTATTGTGAATTCTTAAAGCAACCGCTTTACCAATAGGACAAATTATGTTTAGGAAATCAGTACTTAATAAAAATGTAAATAAAGCTTGTATGATCATGCTTTTCTCCTATTAAATGTGAAAATACTTGTGCCTGAGAAGGGTCTGATAGAATAACCAAAACTAAATGTGTTAAACTTCCTAATTATGCCTTCACTGCAGTGTTAATTTGTATTATTGTTCAAATTATTGGTGGCACATTGGTGGGGTGATTTTTTTTTGATGGTGGTAATTGGTTTCCTATAGTCTTCCTTGCACCGTCTTGTAGGGAGTTGGAGAACCTGTTAGTAATTAATCATTTTTTCCCACTGTTACTGATGAAAAATTTTTCTGAAGATTTGGGACATAAAAAGAAATTCAGGGAGGTTAGAGACGTTCCTTAGGATTAGCTGAGCAGCCCTTGCAGAAAGAGAAAGCAGGGAGGGAGTGTGTGTTGGTCCTTGAGGCTGTTGGAGCTTGAGGACTCTATAGCATAAGCAAGGAACACCTGAAATAGTAGACAGAGTCTACCCATCATTCGGCATGCTTTTGGGGGAGGATAATATCTAGGCATCTCCCAGAAGTTGGTAGGTTTAAGCAAACAAACTTAAATTTTAAGCAGTATGTAGTTAAATTGTGGAATTCCTTGTCACTGAATATTCTGCTTGCTGGAAGGTTGTGTGGGTTCAAAAAGTGTTTAAAAGCATTTGTGGAAGAAAAATCCTTTTTGTACATAGACATTACTGTGGATTAATTTGTCAATGAGCTGCAAAATAATGGAGGCTACAGTGTGTTTTGAGGAAATATTGCAATGTACTTCCGTTACCTCATTCTCTTTCCTTTATGCTCACTGTTGGCCCCTGAGGGAGATGATACTGCGATAGGAGAAAACTTTGGTCCCGTTATATCCATTCATGGAGTCAGGAGACAAATATCCGATGTTCCCATCTTGCATTTTATCATTGTCATTACACTCATTTGTATGATTTTCTTTTTTTGTGATCAACTAAGACTAGTATTAACAGCTAAAAGCTTCTCAAAGGTGTTTCAACCCTATTAGCAGCATTTGTCAACTGTGGCGAAACCATTGTTATCAGCAGCTTCTGTCTTCTGCTGCAGTACCCACAGTTGGCTGGCAAGTCTTAATCTAGTTGCTTCTGGTTCTTTATCAGTTGGAGACAGCCATCTTCTGAAGGAGAGCAGCAGCCTGGTAGGCTTGTCCTTACTAAATCATCTGGTGCTTGAATGGTTCTCTACCTAATCCAACTTTCTGAAGGTCTACTTCCTCATCCAAAGGTTCTCCAGCCACTGCTGGTCATCATAGGTCTGTGTGACTGTCATGCAATCACTCTGCACTGCAAACACGGAGAAGCATATACAGAACCTCAGGTAACTCTGCTCTGCTGTGAATGAATTCTCATCTAAGACTTGCTGCTGCCTTTTAAGAGTGGAAAAATGCAATCCAATAGTCTCTACCTGCCCTTGGCTGGAATTAACAGGAAACAACGTGGACGTGCAGACTGTCTCAGATGGGTGTGGGCTAATCACCCTTTCACAAAGGGTCTTAGGCTGGCTCAACCAACTTCTTATATGAACCCCTTCCATAGGAATGCTAGAGTCAGTGTAGTGCTAATAAGCCTGCACTATCATCTCTCTTCAGAAATCTCAGCACAAACCCATGTGTCTTGACAGTGTGATGCATGGGAAGGGTACAGCTGTTTGGAAGGATGCTTTTGGCAAGCACCAGTACAAGACCCCTGGAGTCAATGCTCAGGTATGCTGCGGTATGGACTTGCCTAAAAAGATGCAGCTGGCAGACCTGAGATGCAGTTTTGCAAGTCAAGGCATCTTATTCAGGTTTGTTTTAAAGAAGAAAAGACAACTGGCCAGTCCCATTTTTATGAGCTGCATTTACACTTTTAATGCTTAACTTCCTCATCTTTGGAACTGCATTTTTTTTCTTTGTGATTTTGTCAGCACCAAATAGAAAGAAGTCACAGAAAAAAGGAAAATTTACAGTATGGAGACAGGTAACAGTCTTTTCCTCGTAAGTACTGAATTTCTATAGAAACAGAAAGAAAAGATATGTGCATCTTTTTTTCCCCCTGTGCATTCCTTAAGAAAAATGGGTGTGTAGTGCATGTTCCTGACAAATGAAGTATGGGAATTCCACAAAAAAGGCTAACCTGTGTTTTTTGTCCAATGCCTATTTAAACATTACAAACAGTTTTGTGGAAGTATTGACATAATTTTAAAAAGCCAAAACTGGTATTTCTGCTGTGGGTATAGAGCCTGTTTGGAGAGCTATTGTGCCTTTGCTATATATGGGGGTGTGAATTAGAGATGTGGGATGCTCTGAAGTTCAGTTCGTCCCTACTTCTTTTCTGCCTCCTGTAAAATGAAAAAGTCTCAGTGAGTAAGAAATGGGAAAGAATGGAAAGAGTAGAGAGTTCAAATACTACTACAGAAGACAGTTGCCTGAGTGGGAAAAGTTTAATACAAGGGGTTTAGACATGCTTTGCTGAAAGACTTATTACAATTCTGTCCCTATTTTTTCTCTTTAAGATTGGTCTAGAAGTTTACCAGGCCCACAGGACCTGTGCTGAACTTTCACTCTGTATCTTCTGTCCAGACTCTTGAAAATTTCCCAATGCATTCTTTCTGTGGGTGTTCACTTTATAATTCTTGCTGTTGTGGATGCTGATCATTCCAGCAAATAGTCTGAGTCTTTGCAGAAGGATTTCTGAAATACTTGTTGTTTTCTTTGAACAGTAAAAGATTAATATAAGGTTAAGGCTGCATGATATTTCTGACTTCTGTTTTCTCTTTACTCTTGGAAATTTTTTTAATTTTTAGTGTTCTAAATCCTCTCTGCTGGGCACATGCTTACATTGGGGGTTGGACTAGAGGACCTCTAGGGGTCCCTTCCAACACAAAACATTCTATGATGATTCTATGATGATTCTACCTCCAGGGGCATTCTCTGCAACTCCTTGTGTAAGCACTTTGACATCTGCAGCCTCTCTGCTTCAGTTCTGGCTGGGTCAGCAGTAGCAGTCTCCTTGCCTAGCCTTCTTGGGCTTTTTGCTTTAAGGACTGTGCTAAAGTTTTCATTACTTTATTTCCTCTCCTTTTCCTGGGATCCAAAGAGAGCTGCTTTCACCTGTGCTGTCTTTGTTCTGCCAGGACTCGCGTTTTTTACTTGCGGATAATCCTTAATGGCCAGCTGATTTAAAAGCAGTCATCCCAGCACCCTTTCCCTCTCCTTGTTTCCCTGCATCCCACTGTGTGACTAGAAAAGAAACCTCTTGTGACAGAAATGAATAAAAGTACTGTCCCTGGAAATACTTAAGGGCATGAGTTGTCTGAAAACTTGCACAAAATCAGGGACAAGGGATTTTTTGAGTAGTGGGAGCAGGCTGTAGTGAAATTTGAAGGGGGTCTGAGTTAAATATCATTGTGTATCTAGGATACTTGGTCTGGACAGCTGGTAAAGTACAGGGCTGATTTTGATGCTCTGTTTATCAAGTTACAAACATGTAATACAGTAACCAAGACCAAGTGGAAAAGTATAAAGCAAGTAGATAAACTAATTGTCCAGATTACAGAGTCAATCTGTGCAAGCTGTTTCTCAGAGTCTGGAGAGGATGTTTGTGTATTATTCCTGAGAGTTTACTGAATGCAGGGCCGATGGCTTACTCCTGAAGGGTTTGCCTGGAATTTTTCTCCTGAAGATATTAGTTTTAAGTGCTCCACAGGATTAAATTTCCTAAATTCTCAGACCTCTGAATTCTACAAAATTCTGAATGTCCATTAAGGCTTTTGTAAAACTGGAACGTGCTCAATATTAAAAGAACAGAATCATTGTGTTCTCCTTAGTGTTAGCTATTTGTACACAGAAAATTTAAGTCTATTTTAGTTTTAAAAATCCTGAAGTGTGTTTCCTTCTGTACTGTAGCTTTGAATTTAGAATGTAATCCATACACACAATACAAATATTACCTGTTTTTGTTTAGGTGAAGCCTCTTACATTTTGCTACAAAGTGGGAGTGCATACTTTTCCCTAGGCAGTGTGGATGCACACAACAGATAACTATTAGTTTTGAATGTTCATCTACTGTAGAATGTGTAATTTACCTCCTCAGAACATGTCAATAGTGCTCCTGAGAGGAAATCAGTAATTTTGCATACCTATAGAGATTCATGAGATTGCATGCTTCATGCCAACGTTTTATTGCCCATCTACTCCTAAGTATTTTTTTTTTTTCCCCTCTTTCCTGGTAACATTTAGTGATTAATGGGAGTCTTAATTTGCATGCTTACTTTTACGCTCATTACAGTGTGTTATGTGCCAGTAGGAGTCTTAAAGTTCAATGAAAATCTCATGCATACTAATGAGAATGCAAATGAGTGCTGATGAAAGAATGCGAGGGTCTCAAGGTAGGAAATGTCCAGCTATCTTGCAATATTCCTTTTAGACAAAAGTAGCATTACAATGAGTACAGAATGCAGGAAGTGCCATCCAGATAAAATTAGAAGCGGCAGCATAATTAGTTTGAAACGGAGGGAATGGTTCATTTTGCCAAAGCTTGGGGGGGCAGGGAAGCATGTTTTGGGTGCACTCAGTACATACATATTACCTTCTCTACCTTACCAGCTTTAAAACATCTTGGCTGACAATGGTGAGGGCATTTTGGTTTGTTAGTGTAGGGA